TGACACCCTGTTTCTCTGTCAGATAACATGAGGACACTGCTCTTTCAGAATCATTTCACGGGGAGAGGCAAGCCAGGGTGATTCAGCAATCAGGAAAATGCCATGTACATGGATTAGGCCGGGAATCCACACCTTCATTTCTGCTGGAAATTTCACAAAGTACATCTACATTTGCACAAGCTTCCACGTACCATGATAGTACATCAGAGAAAAAATGAATGAGGGAAAATGCCAGCTGGAGGTTTAAACAAGGAACAGCCATACAGACAGATACCCAAATAGGGCCAGGAAGGGAAGTCATCTTGTCTTGCACAGACACAATGAAATAGCTTCAAGAAAGCTATTTTGTAGGGAGCATTAACAGCAATTTCTTCAAAAGCACTTGTAATTGTTTGAGTAGCAGGTCAGCTGTCAGTGATGCAGAGTCTAACTAGGTAGAGCAGAGCACCACTACTTTGGATTGATTCTACTGACAAAAGTCATAAGGTGTGAGAAAAATAGCTAAGAAACAACTCAAGGACTCAGTAAAAAATTTTTGAAGTGAAAAGCTATAAAAATGTCTATGGAAAGAAAAGAAAGAATCAGAAGGTGGCAATATCATGGATGAACCCATTCCAAGACATAAGCTGACCAGGTCTCAAATGACTAATGACAACCTGGCCAGCAAAGATACATCCCATGTCTCATTGGGAATACTGACCATGGTAATATCTACCCTAGCAGTGTGTTAGTCCTGGTTATCTACTGCATGTATCAGACCATAAAACAAACAAGTGTATTCTGAAATTACACAAATCCTGCTTGCAAAGTCTCTCTCTAAAAACCAAAAGATGCCCACATCAAAAGTGATCCCGGGAGGAAGGAATCTCATACTCTAAGGAGGACAGGTAGGTTTCTCACTCAGAGGACAAATCAGTGAAGACAGTATTAAAATATTCTCAGGAAGCTCCTGGTTAAGTGACTACCAGGGACAATGACCAATCCACAACAGGATACGGCCTGTCAGTAACCCTTTTTCTGACAGACTGGTGCTGAGGACACATGGACCACAAATTTTTCTAGATATCCAACAACCAGTAACTCCCCATCTAGATGTAGTCTCCCATCAGTCAGCCTCTGTTCAATACTCATAGTAACATAACAGAACTGAAGTTAAGACTGACTTGGCACACTGAATTGTCCCTGGAGTTAATCATGGACCCTCTCACAAAGCCAGCCCTAACAGCACAGAGGGAGCAGGGACAAAAGCAGTAGCAGAGTATAAGAAAAAATTAAGATGTTAAAGGTAACCTGATCTAGCAAACTATGTCCCTTCCTAAAAATGACAGACAGTAGAGTAGAAAGAAAAGATGATTTGCAGACCTAAGAACTGCATATACCCACAAATGGAAAAACACTATCAGCTGGAGCCACTGATGGTGGCCTTCAACAGAACCTCTGATGGAACTTATAAAGTGTAAAATTATTCCTGCTTGCTGTGAGGGACCAAACTTTGGTCATAAAATGCAGCTAAAATATAGAAGAGAAAAGCAAACTTAGTCTTTTTCAACATGTTTTCAAAATAGTCTGCTAGAATGGAGAAATATTTCTCACAGCTCTTTAGCTTTTTTTCCTTTTCTCTGGCTCTTTAAGTCATTTAGAGATAATGAAAGCATTATAAAAGAAACAGAGAGGAACTAAGGACAACCAGGGCAACCAAATATGTTAGTTTTGTTGTTTTTTCAGTCTTTGAAAGAAATAATAAGAAAAAACAGACTGTGCATGCAAAATTACTGAAAGAAAAAAGCAGATGTAAATAAGCATAGGATTCAAGAAGCAAATCTTGAAATCTAGTATTTTTAGGGAAATGGCCTGAGGACCTGAACAAAATTTATGCCATTTTTTAGGTGAAAGTAGTTCAAAAGCCAAATTATCTATAACCATAGTTGACTGTACATGACATTAAAAGCATGCTAAAATGCTTTCTCAAAGAATGTTGAATAAAATATGAAACTGTAATAGCAACATACTTCCAAAGAACATACATGGAAATTTAGTATCTCAAATTTGATTGCCATCAACTGGTTTTACACTGCAGGCAGCTCTTTGGAAAATGTCTCACATTAAATACATTTATCAAATATATTTCACCTTTCCTTCCTAAGTGGTTGGCAAAGTTAACAAATACATATATTTTAGAAAAAACCAAAGTCAAATACATATATATTAGAAAAAACCAAAGTCAGAAGAAAAAATTAAGGAGTTAATCACAGAGTTCTCCATGGGGAGATAAACATGATACAGGTGACATGGCAGCTTAAAATATACAAGTTTTAAATACAGAACTTGTGCTGAAATACGGAGAGAGATATATCTAAAAAGCATGTTCAGCCAACTGCCCTGTTTACTGCTCCTGTTCAATGCTGCACCAAGTGGTTACAACAGAGAGGCTTATTGATTACCCAGAACAGCAGCTAAGCTATAACATGTGATGACTGGAGGTTGAATGTAAAGTGAGACCAAACCTTCACTCTGAGGACTGAGTGAAGTGACACAGTTCATGTTACTGGGAAGCCAGGGCAGGGAAGAAAGGTACTCTGCTCTCAATACCAATTTCACAGCAGGGTTAATATTTTGGATTTCTTGTGAAAGGATGATGAAAAAATGTCTCCTAGATTCTTAGACTATCTCAGTATCTCAGAATTTCTACCCCCAGTTGTTAAGAGTGAGTGAGGGAAAAACAATCAATTAGCAACAAGCATGAATTCCATAAGCATGAATTTTGCTCGTAAAATGATCTAGCAATCAAATTCCAGCAAGTCTGTCAAGAATATTTAGTTCCAACACATTTTCAAAGTATTATTTCTTTTTTTATAGGGAATAATGGTAAGCACTAACACCTGCATCTAATCTGATCTTCACCTACTGATCACATTATTAATATATTTCACACATAAAAGATGAGGAAAAAGTACAACTTTTAAAGATTGCTTCACTGTTCTTATATTTCTTATATTTGTGAAGGGATTACACTTTCAGTTTTACTGTGTACATGAACTAGATTGTTTTGGACAGTTCCTCACTGCTTCAGTGAAAAAAAAAAAAAATATAAGATCATGGCAAAAGTCACAGCTTTTGTATTTGTCTGTGTAAAATGTGCTGGTTTTGGCTGGGGTAGGGTTAATTTTCTTCTCAGTGGCTGGTATGGGGCAGTATTTTGGATTTGTGCTGAACACAGTGATGATAATATAGGGATGTTTTTGTTATTGCTGAGCAGGGTTTACACAGAGCCAAGGCCTTTTCTGCTTTTCCTGCTGCCACATTGGTGAGGAGACTGGTGTGCATGGGAGGCTGGCAGGAGACACAGCCAGGACTGGTGACCCAAACTGACCAGAGGGATATTCCAGACCATGTGACATCATGGATCAGAGTGTGAAGTGGCAGAAAGAAGGAGCAAGGGGGGATGTTTGGAGTGATGGGGCTTGTCTGCCCAAGTCACTGTTAGACGTGATCGGCTCCTGGAGATGCCTGAACACCTGCCTGCCCTTGGGAAGCTGTGAATGAATTCTTTGTTTTCCTTTGCTTTGCTTGTGTGGCTTTTACTTCCCATATCAAACTGTCTTTATCTCAGCCCACAAGTTTTCCACCTTTTACCCTTGCAATTCTCTCCCTGATCCTGCTGGTGAGGGAGTGAGTGAGTGGCTGCTTGGGGCTTGGCTGCTGGCTGGGATGAAATCATGAAAAAAGTATATATATAAAAATATATATAAACATGACATGCAGATCAATTCTTACACCTTTTTTTCTTCCAAGTTCTTCTTTCTATAACCCCTAGAAAAGTTTTGAGGCATAGCAAGCTTCCAGAAGGGAAAACAAAAATAGTTCCTTGCTGGGAACAGTTAGGTCTGCAATAGCCTTTACAAAATAAAGACCTGTCAAGTACATCTACAGGAAAATCATAGCATATGGTAAATTTTTTGAATGAAATTGTAAACAAGTGATCTTCATTTCATATTTATAAATGAAGTCTTTAATGTGAGATAGACACTACTTTTTCAAGGAAAATTGTATAGCTTTTTTGATATTTATATTAACATGAAACAGATGTTCACACATATTTGTGGGGGATATGAGCAAAGAAAATTAATTTATTTAGTAAATAATTGAATATATTTATAATTTAACTGTGTGTTCTGAAATTAGAAAGCATATCTGAGAAGTAATCAACAGAAATAACTAGTAGGAGAAATATTTAAAATAGCTACAGAAATCTACTTATCTTCTATACTTCATCAATGAATCATTTTAAATCATTAAAATATACAATTTCAGTGATAATGCAAGACTTATAATAACATCAGATAAATCACATAAATTAATTATTATCATATACAAGTCAAAAATAAATTTTGCTAACAATTTTAGTAATTACAGCACTAAAGATATTTTTTTCCTTTCATATCCCATCTCAGATCAGATATGACCAGAAATGACACCTAAAATTTCATTCAGGATAATAAACCAAATAATTTAATTCTTTCCCGATAGATTTTTAATTGAAAAGTACTGTTTTCTGTATTTTCCCATGAAAATTTTCCCAGAAACTATGCACCAGAGTTATCTTAAAAACCCCCAGACAAACAACAAATAAACAAAAGCAAAAAACAACATACAATCCCCCTGAACAAAGCAAAAATTAGTTAAAGTGACTGGAAAGGCTGAAGAGAAACATAAGTGTATTTAGAATTAAACAATTTTCTTTTTTGTTTTCTGTTAATTTGGTAAAAATTAAAAGCAGTTACAATTGTTCAACTCTTTGGGTTTTGGAATTTCTTTTCTTTTCTTTTTCTTCTTAATTGATCTTTCAAACTACAGAAATTTTATTTTCAAAATAATTTTCTTAGAAATTTTTCCACTCTGGTACTTCATGTTTTAGGAAACTGTGACTTGCTGCAGATTTAGTTGATAAAATAAGTAACAATAATAGTTTAAATAATATTAAGGGTTGAGGCGCTACATACCTTGTGGCTGTTTAAACAGAAGATGAAAAACAGATTCGTTACAGGTGGCCTGGGACAGGACAGATACGCTCAGATGCTCATTCAACAGCCCTTCATCTAAAAAAAAATTTTTAAAAATTAAAAATTATTTGTGGAAACCCATTTAGAATTCAAAATTGATAGAACAGTTTCCCTCATAAAACAGCTTCACAGACAGGTTTTATAAAATACATCCTTGAATGGAAGCACATAGCCCCTTTTTTCCTGCTCTCCTTAAAGGTCCTCTCAATATTTTCCTCATTGTGAAGTAGAGATACAATATGGATATCTTTCAATACAGAATTGAAATGAAATAACACAGCACCAATAAAATGCAAAGTTTAAAATATTTTCAGTTAAATAACAATTAGAGATTACAAAATAAACTCTTTTCTAAATGAAAAATATCAAGTAGCAATGAAAGCCAATGGTGACATCAAATGTAAGAGACACAGGTTTAGGACCAGCAGTACAGATACAGCTGCAGACAAGATTTGCTTTCTTGCCAGCAAGGTACTGGATCAACCAACAGATCACTTCATAAAGACAGAGGATTTAGACATTATTTAGATTGTTTCACTGATCATTGTCAATGCTGTGGATAAATGAAAAATGAGATAGAAAAAACTCGTTTGAAGTCCAATTTTATAAACACATTTTGGAACCAAAGGAAATTCTTAGTAGGAAATATGTCTTAGCAGCCAACTCCAAGAACCTGAGACGAATAGATAGACCATATCTGTATAATATGTCATATTAAAAGTGTGGTAACACTAAATGATGAACTGCTGACAGGAAAATGGAATACACAGGACTCATCTCACAGCCAGGGAACACTGTCATTTGGGGTTATGGAACAAAGTTAAAATGGCTTTAAGAAACAGAATAATGATCAAAGACATTCAGGAAGGCAGAGAACAGCTCTTTTGGCACTATCATTTTTGGTTCTTGGAAGAAGAGAAACAATCCCAAAATTATTTCACCTCAAGAACAAGGTCTCAGGTTTCGGAAACCAGCTTAGAGGTTCAAAGTTAAGATTTGCAAACCGTGAGGAAATAAAAAAAGAATTGAAGGGCCCTTGCCAAATATTAAATGATGGGTGCATAAGAAAAGCCAACATACTTATTTCAATATATCAATAAAACAAATGTATCATCTTCTTTCCTGACATGGGAGACAGCAGTGGCAAAAACATAGCTATAGTGAAATTTTCCTCTATTATATTAATTATTCTGTAAAAATTCATTTCTATTTTTTTTCAGGATGCTGATAAGCTGAATACTTTAAAATTGCCCTATTTGAACATTTTTGCAAACTTTGAAATATATGGCATTTTTTTAGCTTCTATCCTTCTACACATTCAGCTAAAAAGTAATTTTCACGCAACTAGCTAACTAATCTTGAGATCTTTTAAATAGTTACACTGTATGAAATTAAAGGCACTTGGTTATTCATGATGCTTCAAAATTGCATTTATCTCTTCAGAGCTTCACTTATACATTGCACATTATTTTTTTAGTTGGTAGCTAAAACAATTATTTGAATTATGTCAGAATCAGCAAAAAGTGATGTTAGTACTTGTATTCTAAATTGACTAGATGACTAAAAATAGTATTTCTTCACAACTTTACTATTTCACTCTAACATGACATAAATGTATATATATATATATATATACACACACATATACATATATGCAATAATACTTAGTCCAATATATTTTGTCTGAAGGAAAAATTACCAAGTAGCAGACTTGTCTTTGAGTACTTAGTTCAGTTGCATAAAATCCCAGAGAGCAGTTTAAAAATATTTTGCAAAGTACATTTAAAAAGTTGCAGTTCCAGTCTGGAAGTCTCTGAATGGAAAATGACATGGCCAATGTACTCTGAATGCAGCCTTATCTTGGACACAGGTTAAGTTTTAATAAGAAATCTTATACACTGCCACAGATATCAGTTTTACTACTGCAGATAACTCTGGATTCCAGAGAACCAATCCACCTCCCTTATCCAGTTCCTAATTACTGCTGTAGTTTTAATCTTTTCTTTGAGCACAGGCCTTCAAACTCTGAAATTAATACCCTCTATAAAAGCTGATGCAATTTTTTTCTTGAACTACATATTTGGACCACTGAAAATATGAAATGTCCACGCTGACTGGAATAAAGCATTACAGTATTAACAAATACTAATACTTAGGGATAATTCTTATACAAGCTGACTCTGTGGGCTCTGATTTACACTGGAGATTTCAGTAGTTTCAATTATTTATATTGCTTTTGTTGCTTCAAAAAAACAATCCTCTTAGTAGAAATACTATACAGTGGTATTTAGAGAAAAGTAATATCATTCAACCTGAAAGAGCTGAACTAGTGCAGGTTGCTAAACCACCTGTGACAAGAGTTTTCATACTCTGTAGTTCTGGTCATTGGCTCAATTTGGGGAAAATCACCCGCTGTTAAATAAACATTACTCACACAACTACTCTTAATGTAGCTGTAAATGCCAATTTGAATTAGCGCTGCACATTTAAGCATCCAAGTGTCTAAATCCTGGGAAGAAAACTTATTGGTATTAAATTCAATAAGAAAATACCTAGTTAAAAGAGGTCCAGGGTAGTAGGAGTTTTATTTGCTCTATAATTATCCTACATAGAGGTCTGTTTGTGCTACAGCAGCAGTCAAAATTCACAGAAAGAAACATTTCTGAGCAATAATGCTCCTGGGTTTGGCAAAGCCTCAGAAATGCAAATGAAATCTTTAGAAATGGTCTGAACAGGACAATTCCCAATTAATGTCTATTTTAATTCCTGAACTCTGCAGTTCTAAATGTAATTTCATATCTATATAGAGTTGAAATTGTCTGTGGAATGTTACTGGAAAATAAGAGCAAGAACTTGAGTAATTTTCTTTAAAGCATGAAGTAAATGTACAAATGTTGATGCTTATTGCTCTTAGACCTTAATCAAGATGCCCTGTTTTCAGTGTTGACACACTGAATTCTTGTAAGAAGGGGCACATGGTCTGAAAGACAATTTCTGAAGATCAAGATCAGTCAGGCATGTCACTCTGATTTCTGAGTTGCTGCCTTCTGTTGATTTCCCCATTCCACCCTCTTTCTGGCCTCCAGTAACACCAGCAATAAGCCTGACAGAGTTCTCAAGATATGTAAGGGCCAGGAATGCTAAACCGAACTTGTGCATCCAAAATTTTGCTTATAAGACTAGATTACTCTTTCTCTGGAAAGAAAGAAATACGAATTCCAGTTAAGTATTCCTATACAAAGCAAATCACAGAATGAATATCTAAATACAGCTTGAATGCATAAATCAACTATCTTGTAATAAAAACAAAGCAAACTTTATGTACAGGTCACCAAGTGCAACTGAATTAGAAAATTAGCATGACAATAACCTGATTAAAAAACTCAAGACACACTTTAAAGGACAGGTATGATTATCCTTTCATAAGAATTGCAGTATGTAATTTATTTTTTCAAGGATGACCTTATGTAAATCTACAGATCACTTTTGTAATTCTGTTAGATCATCATGGCATCAGGTCTACTGATGGGTAAAGAAAAATAAGACTGAAAACTTCTGATGCATAAAAACAAACATTAGTCCTTCACTGTCTGAACAACTCCCTGTGACAAGTTCATGCTGAACAGCTAGAAGATTACTATTTTCACTAAAACAATTGAACAATGCAGTTTCTCCTGTTTTTCAGAATATCACAATCTACTAGGCTTTAGTTGCAATATTTAAGCTCTATAAATATTTTTTCTGATTAAGTTGCATCACAGATAAGTTTGATTATTCTTCTCCATTATTTTGTGAACAGCACACTGGATTAGCATTCTTACAAATTATATCTCAAAGTAATGGAATACTAAACTGAGCTGTCTGGCACCAGATTTATTCTCAGTAAGACAAGCAGTTTGCATCTCTGAATTGCTCTTGTTGTTGTACAAATCAGAATCCCAGCTTGCACTTCCCACTAGAATAAAGTGTCCTGATTTATGAGATGCAACAGGAATCTTTATACCACAGATGTAATATACTCCTACACTTCAAAAATTTATATAATCAGTTATTTCCTGGTCAAATAGGGTGGATTACACTGCTAGTAATTCACAGCACTTCTAATTCACACAGTCTGGGCCAAGATAAGCACACAAGGTAGATGGAGTGAGGGAAAAACACAAAGGGTTAACATTTTAGTACAAAAATTGCATTGCTAATAAAGACAAAGTTCACTTTGTCTTCAGCTGTTCCAGGAATGATGTGTTGATGAACAAAGCAATTCAAAACTGAGATACACGAACAATTTATCAAGGTACCTCTGGACTGAAGCTCTACCATCCATCATGTCAGTTCCTCTCCCTAATTTACATTGCAATCTCTATCATCATCCACGTCATTAATAAAGGTCTTGAATAATACGGGTCCCAAGGCTGACCCTGGGGTGCAATGATCATTACCAGCCAGCAGCTGAATGCCAAGATGTTGATCACTATCATTTGAGACCAACACTTCAGCCAAGCTCCAATCCACTCAGCAGGTCTAGACTTCCTTAGCTTCCAAACAGGAATGTTACAGGATACAATGACAAAGTCTTACTAAATCATAGTATATTACATTCACTGCTCCTCCTTTATCTGCATAATCACTCATTTCCATATAGAACGCAGTCACATTTGTCAATCATGATTTGCACTTAAGAAAGCCATTTGACTACTCCTGATTACCTTCTTGACCTTCATGGGCTTGGACATGGACTGTAAGAGAATGTGCAAACCATGGGCTACACACACTGCAAAAGTACTGTCCAATGACCCCACCAGAGGTTCAGGGGAGGCTGATCATCCCACTGCTCCTCCAGTCTTCCTTTTATCACTTTTCAAAGGAAGAAACAGCAAAACCTTTTCCCAGTCAACAGAAAAATCTCCTGATCAACATGAACTTTCATAGAAAACAACAGTCTCACAACAGTCAATCATATTGACCAACTGTTTTATTACATTGTGAATTTCACCTGGATTTGTGGATCTGAATACCTCCAGCTGCTCTAAGTCCACTAAAGGCTGCCCATTTCCCTCTCCAAACAGGAAGGTCACCTACCACAGCATTCATGCAAGTGGTGACGCTCCTGCCATTCCCACTGCAGAGCCAGGGAGAAACCTCTACAATTCCTGACTGCCTCAGACCAGAGCTGCAGCTTCCACCCTCCCAGCCTCCACCCGGATTACAGAAGCAATGGCTGCACAATCAGAATGACTGCCCAAGAGCAGCTCCTGTGGTGTGCTGTCAACATTTACCTTCCTTTTCTAACTGTGAGAAGCACTTTGGAGCCTTGTGTACATACACTGAATGCCACCTGCTGCAGCAACTGCCCTGTCCCTGTGTGCTGAGCCAGTGTGCAGTGCTCCTTGTCACTTCAGGACACCTAGATGGCAGATAAGTAGGAACCTGGACAAGATTCTGTTTCTCTTGATTCCAGGATCTCCCCCTCTCTGCCAGCTATCCTGCTCAGCACCTGAACTCTGATAAATTCCCCAAGATCCTGGCTATGATTCACTTGGTCTGTAAGCGCTGAATATTTTGTATGCTGTTGCTTCTTTCAATGTTTTCCAGAAGAGAACATCAAATCAAATTCACAAGAGATCTTGTCACTTATAAATGGTACTCTTTTGTGACAGTCATAAATAAAAATATTTCAGAAGTTAAACAGGGGAAACTGCACTGAAGTCTGGCAAAAAATCCTGGTCAGCAAAAGTACAGTGTTTAGTCATGAGACCAAGATGCTCCTGACCTTTCAGGTAAACATATTTCCAAGATCCCCCATATATGAACCAGGTATGTGGACAAAGCTGTATTTCTTTATTTCTCACTCATACTCAGAAAGCAGGATTAAAAAGTGTGAGTTTAATGCAACAAACAAACATCAATCAGTTTTTAAAAATCACATTTCTTCACTTATTCTATATGCCTCAAACCCCAAATCACAGCAAAAGTGTGCAAATATGGCTTAAAACTTACCTTTGAACAGGCTTGATTTTTACCATTCTCTTACATTTATGTATTTATGAAAATAAAACTGGAAGATTTATCTTCAATTTTTGTAATTTGCAGATTTTGTTATTTGCCAGGACATGCTTTGGCACTTGTTTTCTGATGCTACCTACATGTTATGTTCGAGTAGGTAGAGATTCGGGGAACATTTTAAAGCCTTCTGATGCACTTGAAGTGAAATTTCCTCTTTGACTGAGTAAATTTTAATCATCAATGAGAATGTGGGATTTAGAACCTGAGTTCCTACAGCACTTGTGAAATCCCAGTATGGATAGTTACTTGTCAATCTCTGATAATTCTGGATCTCATATTATCCTTTAAAGCATGTTTGAAAATATTGATGAAACATACTTGCTTGGAAGGTCATAAAAAAAAAAAAAAAACCAAACAAAAAACCAAAAGAAAACCTTAAAAATGTTTTGCCCTTGCTCTCTAACTAATTCCTTTAGTTACCCAGAATCTGACCAAACAGAATAAAATATTTGAAGGTAAATGAGGAACAAAAGCAAAGCATTAGTTATTTAGCTAATGCACAGCTACCAAAACTCATCCCAGAGTCTCCTGTTGCCAAAGTGCTGCAGTGCAGTGTACAGCCAGGCAGCAGCTGCATGTCCATATGAGGCTGCATGACCTAAAATCCTTCTGTGAGCAGCTGTTATAGGTTTGTGTTCTTTCCCATCTCCCACAGCACACTCTAAAGTTTTCAGGGTGGGTGTGGACAATATACAAGAACGCTATTGCCAAAAAATGGAAGGAGGAAAATGTAATCACATCCCTTTCACACCTCTAATGGAACCCAAGGAGCTTAAATTCCTTTCCCCACTCAAAAAAAAATAATAAAAAAATCCAAACCCCGTACCTGCCATCATGACATCTACCACCACATTTTCCACAGTTGGATTTCTGAAGGCTATGATGGCAGAGGAGTACTCTCCAATGCAGGCACTTATGGTGGTGGTTTCCATGCGCTCAGGAGGAACTCCAGACCCCGTCAGGTAAAATATCCGCTCTCCAAACTGTGAATGGAACGTGCCATTATTTATTATTTGATGAGTCACAGCTGTACATTTTAAAGCATTTTTCCTACTTTCTTCCACTGTTTTGTGTCTCTGCTATAAGTGAACTTTAATTTTTGCTTTCTTTTTTCTTCCTTTAAGCTGTTGTTACTCTAAGTATTGCTATCTGGAAATCAATACTTTAATTCTGGGAGATGTTCACATCCCCTTTTTGTGTTTAACTTCTGTCCTACTTCAAGCACACAGTATTTAACTTCCATCCAGCTAATCAGAGCTTTCAGTGTAAGCAATGGAAAGATGTGGGTAGTTGCAAAAGCAGAATTCAAAGCACATATATTAAAACCTAAAAGCAAATGAAGTGAGAAGTTCTCTCCAGAAGACAAAGGAAGAAAGAAAATAATTATTTGATGGGACAGCAGTAGAATCATACAACAAGGTAAAAGTGCTACTCCAAAGATAATAATGAACATTAACCTTTAGACACAGGAAAATCAAGGATATTGGAAAGAAATATTAGATCTAAAATTTCTGTGGACCATCAGGTTTCAGAGAAGATAAGGACATTGTGTCCTCTGGAACTGACCTTGGATATATACTCATCATATTAGAATTGCTGTCTCCTTGTTTTTAGCCTTACTAAATATTTAAGAGAGATTCTGAAAATAAATGCTGTGCCAACACCACCTGCAAATAACCTGTCTTTTCAACATACTTTTTCAGGACAAAAAATTGCCACATGACTTCCTTTAGTATTTGTTATCTTCATATAAAAGAATATTTGCTTTTTTAGTATTGCTTAAAACACTACTGAAAACTGCTGGTAGCACTCAGCTGGAATAATTCACAGGTCAGCAGTCTTTTAGGATATCTGAAACTAAAAAAAATAAAAATACAAAGAGGAAATTGCACAGAAAGCAAAGGCTTCATTTAACCACATCTTGCATGATTAAATATTTCCATTTACATTGTACTATCAATTTTTCTTTTTTATTTCAGCTGTATTTAAAAACAGTTAGTAGGTCATGTTGATGACTTGTCTCTTTATTTATTAATTTCTCTTTCAACTTCAGGAAAATTCACAGAGAAAAAAGAAGTCAACAATTCTAAAGTGTTCAAAGTAAAAAACATTTTGAGATAAAATGAAAGGAAAAATTCACTTTTTCAAATGTGTGATCTTCTAAAATTCAGATCTGATTAAAAAAAATGAAACAATTTATTTTTTGGGGGGTTATGAAAAACACCTAGGAATTTAATTTCAGAGGTGACACTCCTAACAAGTGGCAGTCTTCTAGTGTTAAAGCCAGCAGAACTGACTACTGAGCAAGCTAAACTTATTCATTACCTGTTCTAGTTCCTAGGTCGTTATGCCTCATTTTAATACTGTAAACAGAATAATTTCTGTGTAAAACTAAGGATAAAACAAATTACAAGTTTTTAACATCTTCATGTTTGCTCTTTCATTACGCATCCAGTCACTAAACTTCACCTTGACCTACAGGCTGAATCTCTTACTTCCTTGCCTATCATAAATAGTGTCTGATCTGAATCCCAAGTGTTGTGGGTACAAGCACATTATCATACCTTTGGGCATTTGAAGGTTATTGTTGCCTTGTGATTGCGTCTTCCAAGGGCAGAAGGACAGAATCTCACAGGCAGCTGAGTGGTGGAATGAGGAGGAATAGTCAGCTGTACAAACACAAGAAAGAAGCAAAAGAAAGGAGGGGTAAGGGAGATGAAATCAATTTTTTTGAGTCTCTGTTTTGTGCTTTGTACCAACAATGCTGATGTGTATGTGATTAATGTGTTCCACCAGATGCATTTCCCCCTCTCAGCCAGCGAGTTACTGCAGCAAACAATGCCAGTGGCAGTCCCTGCACATCCACTTCCCAGCAGTGCCAGGCTGGGGCTGGAACTGCTCCAAGGACACGGGCAGCAGCTCTCCAACACCATTCCAACAGCACTGCAGTGTCTGATGGCACCGAAGGGTTATCACAGTGACCCCCACGGACTCAAACTGCCTGAGAAAGGAAACCATGCCAGGTTTTAATAAACCAGTGCTTTGCTCTTTTCTGCTTGCCTTTAGAAAACCAACACTGTAAATAATGTTGCAAGTTTTCTCTTCACCTCAAGTATTCTACTTGAGACTCAATTGCATAGGCAAAAGCAAATAGCTGACTACAATGGATTAATATCTGTTTTTGAGAAGCAGATAAGCAGTAAATTAATTGAAATATGAAGAATAAAAATGCCAATGCATTTAGAGTGTGATCAGCGAGAATCACTGAAGACACAATTACTAGGACTATTTATTTAATAAAAATCACGTATTAGCCTTTTAACATTATATATGTATAAATAGCATTTGCATATAAGAAGAGATAAAAAGGCAATTGATTGGTATCATGAGCAATCAACCTATGTTTCATAAAATGAATATAATTTGCAATAAACGAAGGTCAAAGCAACACCCAACAACAGCTGGGACTGACAAAACACACATGAAATTGCCAACTCCTAGTGCTCAGCATAACTGAACAGAAACTCCATAAGAAGGCACTGTCCATGTCTGCACCATCTTTTAAACTTCACGATCTTCACTGGCCTGCCCCCAGTTGGGCCTTCCAGTCACTTGGCTGATCCAGGCAAGATCCACTTAGCACTGCCCCAGTGTGTGATTGATGGATAATTCTGCCAAACAGAGGCTGGGTTAGCACCATTCCCCCAGTGTGTGACTCATGGATGGATGGATGGATTGATTGATTGATTGATTGATGTATTGACAGCTCAGCCAGGCTGGGGGATCTGAGGTCACTGTCCCCCTACAAAGCAAGGCCTGGCCCATCCCCAGCTCCTCTGTAGGGGCATTGACTTGGTACATTGATGTCATCCAGTCTCTGTTGAAATGGATGAATCCCATCCATCACCCAAGCCTTTGCTGTTTTTCCTCACTGCCCCATGGCTTTCCCTGCCATCCCACAGCTGGGCCCAGGCAGGAGCCACGCTGTTCCTGGTCTTCCCAGTCATCCCCTGGGTGTATTTATAGGGTAGAGTTACCTGGAATAAAACACAGATCCTTCCAAACACTGTTAAAATTATAATATATAAAAGCAAATCTTTAATTAAAAAGCCTTTAGGGTGCACCATATGGCAATATGCACACATAATACAGTAGTTCTACAATTTTTATAAGGTTATTTGATTAGTATAGTTATCAAATATTGTCCAATTAGAAGAGCAGTTGGTTAGATAATTTTACCCCAGGTACTGCACCATTGGAATTAGTCCAGGGGCTTCATTACCCTATTTCTTGTGTCTTCTCAGATTCTGGTTGGAAAACAATTTTTTTTTTGTCTTTGCTGTAGGTTCTCTTCTTGAAAATAAGACTAAACAGTATTTCAAGAATGTGTTAGAAGGTTAGCTTATTGCTCTAAAACGTAGGGGGAAGGGTAGGAAGAGTACTAGAAGCTGAAACCATATATTAGCAGTCTCCAAAGCCACAAATATATGAAAATATATAAAAAGCTAAAAATCTTGAGTCATCAGTACCAGCTCAATGAGGGACGGGCATTTTGGTGTGTCTTTAACAACAGATATTCTTACTGATGGCAGCGGGAGGTAGGTCGTGCAGAAGGGAGGTAGGTTGTGCAGAACACACAGCTCAGGTGTGCTCAACTAACACACCAAACGTGAAATGTTATTTTATTTTTTGGGTGAGAAAGATTTAAAGTAATTAATCAGACTACTGTCATAACAGTTAATTAAACTTTCATTTGCAGTCCAGTTCCTACCTACTAGTCAGACCCATTTATCAAAAGAAGACCTATAAATGGAGAAAGAATCATAGTAGAAAACACCCCCTCCCAAATACTTTTTAATGAAATGAAAAAAACAGGTGAAGACAGGATGGCATAGACTAAGACTACATCATTAAATTAACACTAAGATTTTTAAATTTTGAGTAATTTCAGTGTAAGACATCCACATTATTCAGAATAATAACTCTTCCACAGAGATGCAAACAGACAGGAATTCGATTTCCAATAAGTATTACTTGACATATTATCATTACTCAGAAAATGCACTGCCACAATGAATCAAAACTATCAACTATGGAGCTATGATAATCCAGCAGACTGCCTGTTCTGAAAGCAAAAAATATTGTTAATTTTTCCATTATAGATTTGGTTTTAAAAATTAATTTTGAATTTTACAGTATGATGTTCTGTGAATCCAAAAAGTAATTTGTTTTGAAATAAGCCAGGCAAAAAAAACCCCTACTTAGTTTCTACTGAAATGAAAAAAAAAAAAATTACTTCTAAAACTAGAATTGAAAAATAATGCTAAACAATATATTTTAAGGAGTCATAGAATCATGCAATTAAATATGCTGATGCTAACACATCTCCTGCCTTACATTTTGTTTACATAAACAAATGCCTTCCACAATAGTCATGTGAAAAGGAATTTATATCATTGCTTTTCATAAGATCTCAGATATAATATTTCAAATACAGAAACTGAGTCTGAAGTTAATTACAAATACATTATTCCTGTTATAAAATGAAGAAAGGAGGGAAAATTTTCATTAAATCTAAAAGCTTGTTCTCTGTACAAAACAAGTACTCGTGGTCATTAAGAAAATCCTTGAAGCTTGCACACAGAGATTGCACTCCTCTCTGCCAGCCCTTTTCTATTAAGTTATTTGTCCTCAATAAAAATTGTGTTTCAAAGCCAATCAGGGAAGGACACAGCTGAATGGAAAAGGTTTAGGCTAGTTTTAGCCAGGAGAATAGCAAACTGAAGAGTTACAGTGAAAGTATGTTTCTTTTTGGCCATAGATATGATTCTGTAAGATTTTTTTGTACATCATAAATATATGCCTATGGTAATATAATACACATATATGGGAAATACATCAATGTATTTATATAGAGGAAAAGTAGCAAATTGGGGGACACATTATTGATCACTGAAAATTTTCAGCTGTTAAATGCTGACTCTGAATCCTTTTCTGCTAAAGACAAAGAAAGCTGTAGTCAGGACAGAAACACAAAACTCAACATCCCAATGATTTTTTTCCCAGACACTCTTAATATTCAATATGATAATGGAAAACAAGTTGGAATTTTACAGTAAACTTATGAAAATTCACTTTCATTCCAGTTTTTAGGTAATTTGGCAGCATTTTTGAAGTTATTAAGTTAGTTTAAGGCTGACAAGAAATGAAACAAAAATTAGGTACAGCTTGTTAAAAAAAAAAAAGGAAAAACTAGATGAAAATCCAAATCCCATTAAAGGGGATCCTTGAAAGCTTCTATTAAATTTTTATCAAATTTTTGAAAGAAATCCAAGATGGTGTATTCTATTTACACTGACTTAGGCTACAGTTGCAAAGTCACCAGCAAGATATGCAGTCTTTTCTCATTTTTATCAGTTTACAATGGGTAACAGAGCTGCTTCTAATTGACATGAAGCTGATGAAGGATTTAAAGCCTTTGAATTTCATTTAGACTTCATTGTGCACCCTGAAGTTCAGGAATACTTGAGCCTAATCCAACTGGAGCTCAGGAAAGCATGTTATTAATGATGTCCATACTTGAAGTTGAATCAGATCTACAGAAAATAATTCTTTATGATATTTCAGTAATGTCCTTTGTTCCAAACTGCAACTGGAACAAACAAACTTCCACACACATGGAAGTATTATAATAATATTGGAATTTTTTAAAATTCTGAAATATTAGTCAAAATTTTGGTTATTAATTTTGGGCAAATATCTTAAGAGAAGAAAAAAAATTATTTGATATTACTTGAATCTGGTTTATTTAACATAACTCAGGGACTAAAGAAATTGATTTGAGACATTTTCTGATCAATAGCCCAGTACATTCAAAGGTCCCGCATCTTAGATGACATAAAAACAAATACGGAAATTTACATGAAATATCAAAGTTATTGAGCTGACTACTAACTGTCTTCAAATATAATGTATCTTCATTGGAAAATCCCATCTTCAATCTATTGTTCAAATAATTTGCTCTTCTCTGTTGCACAAATTTTAATCTTTCTGCTGAGAAGAAGGTGCTATTGCTTTAAAGAGAACACAAACTTGAATGATTAAGATGGGAAACTTTTTCCACACATGCGAAGGCTTGGAAATGAGTATTAATATAAACCAATGCCTGGAACATGGACCATGGTTTATGAGCAGTAATCTGGAAGTTGAATGCAGTGTTGTGGGGAGGTTCTAAGCCTAGGATGCAAAATACTCAGGAGAAGTAAGAACATGTGGAGTGCTGTGTCCAGTTCTGGGCTCCCCAGTCCAAGAAAGACAAGGAATTACTGGAGAGGGTCCAGCAGAGGCCACAAACATGATTGGGGGTGTGGAGCATATCTAATGAGGAGAGACAGTGGGAGCTGGGCCTGTTCAGTCTAGAGAAGAGAAAACTGAGAGGACCTCATCAATGTGTACAAGTATCTTAAGGGCAAATGCCAAACTCCTTCCAGTGTTTCCCAGTGACAGAAGTTCCATCTCAATTTGTAGGAAAAACTTCTTTCCTCTGAGGGTCACTGAGCACTGGAACAGGCTGCCCAGAGAAGCTGTGGAGTCACCATCTCTGGGGAGATTCAAAACCTGCCTGGGCACAATCCTGTGCAACCTCCTCTAGGTAAACCTGCTTCACCAAGGGGGTTGGATTTGATGGCCTCCAAACAAGTCCTGCTGATTCTGTGATGTAAATGTTACTCCCTGACTTTGTCACCAAAACTGAAGGAAATAACATAACCTCTCCAAACATGGGTCTTTAATGGAAGAATAGGTTCAAAAAGAGACAGCTACATGAAATAAATGTTAAGTAGTTGCATTTAGCACCCAAAGTTATCCTGTAACTGAAAGAACTACTGCAATTAACTAGGAACATTTCTGAATTCAATCTATAATGATATACAGGACTGACGATTACAATAAAAAGGAGAGAGAAAATTACTGCTGTTAGTGTTGAATCTGTCTTTTCCAACACAATGTAATGTAGCTATTGTTGATGTGTGAATCTCTGATGATAAATTATGAGAGAATAAAGATTTTTTTCTTGTTGTTAATTTTCTGCACAAGGTAATATGCAATTTGCAGCAGCCAAAATTCACTATAGTTAAATCTACCCACTTCTGTGGCAATGACCCAAACATAATACACATATAATACTACCAGACAATTAATATAGTTTGCATCCATTATGTTTCTAAGGTCCTATTCAAATACCAATTCATTAAATAATTAGAAATAGCACTTGTCGAGGTTTAACATAGTGTATAAAGATGTGTTATTGTGCATGACAGAAAAGACAGACTAGAAAAAACTTCATGTTTTATACTTTTAATTTAATGGAATCCTAAATACCAATATATAGGAAAGCTGAGTAAAGAACTTTGATCTCCTTTAGCTGTTGCCATAAAAATCCCTTTTAGGAACCTTTGGTCTGGCTGTACTGCTATATTTGAGGCTGAAAGCTGTTCAGTTTCTGAAAACTGAACCTATAATGACTATGTATCATTCGTCTATTTTCCCCATACAGTCTTTTATATCTTCTTAGCTTTATTTTATTACAATATTCCTTTATTCTCTCTCTGACTCTTAAACCATATTGCAGGAATAGAATCATAAAGTTGTGAAATAGTTTGCTTTGGAAGGGACCAACCAACTTTGGTGTCTTCACTGACACCAAAGGCACCTTTTTCTTTCCTGTCTAGCACACATTTATTTCTTTTTTTTTCTATTTCTTTTAATCTTAAAAGTTCTGAATTCATATCCTAAGAGGCTGTGATGGAGGCACTCAATGCCACTCATTCAGACGTGGAGTTTACATGCATGTGCCCTCCCTTTTCTCACCTCCCCATCATGAAAAGGTCACATATTTTATAGAATTACCTTAACAACACCCAAAGAATTGCTCATGGGGCCTGTAATATTAACTAGTATTGTGTGGTCAATAAGAAATGTTTTTCTGAACCCTGACCACCTAGAACTCTAGCAAATCTCAACATACAAAAGCTGAGCCAATCTACACCATAGTTATTCCTAGAAAGGACATGAATGTTAGGCAGCAAGTTGGAAGAGCTTCTGTGATAGAGGAGGAAAAAGTAGAGTATATAACAAGAGGGTTAAGAGACATCACTCTCAAGGTAACTGTGAGTTTTTGGAATAAAATGATTCTAGGTATTTGCTTGAAGCTTCTTTGCAGCGATATTGATCAAATTATTATTCATATGCCTTGCAAGTTGCTTATAATATTAGATATTCTTGTATTCTTCCATTAATACCTTACCTACTAACCTAAATATTTACGTAGTTATTCTGTTGTTTATTAGGTACTTATGAAGCTTCTATGCAGCTGCTTTGTTTACAACTTCTCCTTCTAATATCTCCTGAATTATTTACAACCTACACTGCAGTCCTGCTCAAACCATTCCATAAAGCATTCCAGGAAAGAAAAAAACATCTGTACTTCTGCTTGAATTGCTTTTCAAGTTTAATTCTTTTCTTCCTCAGGCTACAAAATCTCTAAAATATGTACTTAAAATGTCTAAAATATTGTATATTCTGAACCCAGAGTACCATGCATAATTCAGTTTGTTTTGTCTTCTATCTTTTTTGTGAAAGCACTGAAATCTTACTTACAGGTTGCTTTGGGTCAGCCTCAACTGCAAAATGGCTGGGATCGCTGTTATCTATTTGTAGCGCCAGAGTTTCATGAGTAGGATTAGCAAGAGGTATGTATGCATAAACCCATCTGGAAAAAATCATATACACAATGATGATTTATTACAAAACTCCTTCCATTATATGTCATTATGCATAAAGGTTGGTTTTTTTTCCTGAGAAATTCTGGATTTTTTTTATTTTAAACATAATAATTTTTATTTCATTAGCATTTCCTCACTAATGTGGAAACATATTTAGTAACTTAAATTATAATCAATAATCAATATTAATAACAATAAATCCTTAATTCATTCAATGTTTCATTTTGTTCATTTGTTTTGTTGTTTATTACAGCATAATTGTAGAATCATTATGTTCCATATGTAGATTATATTTTCTAATGAGAATAGTGACCCTCCCAGAACAAAGATTGGAGTGTGCTGATTGCTTAAATCAGCTGGCCCTCTATTTTACAGACTTCCCTTCTTTATTTTCCATTTAAAGAATATTCATGAGATACTTTCAATATGGAGAAAACTTTTAAAATAATTCATAAGACTCCCAAAATTTCCTCTATTTTGGTCAAAGTACTACATTTTTTGTTTTCAGTGAGGTTATACAATCATAAATCACATTCTTGTTGTAATACCAAGGGACACAGAGAAGGGGTTCAAGGTGAATAAGTGAAAACAGTAAATAAGTTTGAAAAATGAGATACATATATTGGTTTTGCTGTAATTTATCTCCTAATGGATATTCCCTCTAGTCAAAGCTGTGGCAGGCCAACTGCCAGATTGCTCCACATATTTATCATCTGGAAAAAAAATTAGTCTGTTAATCATAGCTAAATGAGTAAGGAAAAAGAAAATACTGGAAGCAACATTCAGCAGATATTTCAGTCCAGCTTTATGACTGTAACTTCAGACCCTAAAACCTGTTCACACGTGGACTCCTTCCAACTCATGCAGTGACACAAATCCCCAACAGCAAGGACCAGACTTGTTTCTAACAGTGTCAAAGCATTGCATCAGTGAGATCTCAAAACCTGAGAGTAAAGGAATATTAGGAAACTTTCACACAGGAACTTCAGACTCAGTTGATAATTCTCATTTTTCACATTTACCCTCTCTACTCTTTTTTGGGGATTTTTTTTTTTGTTTGTTTTTGTTTTGGTTTGGTTTTTTTTGGTCTGGTCTCTTTCATATCTAATATTTTGTCAAAGGAAAATCTAAGTTGGAATATCTGAAATTTCAGTAAGGAATTACTGGAATTTTAGAGGTTCTTCAAGTCATCAGAATCCTGCCACCCCACACAGACTGGCTATCATGGGTATGCTGGGAAAATTGCTGCATGTGGCAGTAAATTCCAAGTCACTGTGAACATCATTCAACCTACTCATCTTCAATGACTCCACTGTGCAGCCCATAACAGGATGGATAAGGAAAGATTAAAAATAACAGAGAGAAGGTTTCCCTCCTTAGAGGCATATGCTAAGGGATGTGTTAAATCTACCTTGACACAAACAAAAAGCAGATCTGACTGTGATAGCCCCAGAATTTTAGGGAATATGAAGAAGGACTAAAGGAAAAATTGTTAATTTTCTTTTTCATCTGTCAAGAATTGGTTAGAAATTGACTCTAAGTTATCAGTGGGGGCGTGGTCCTAATCCAATTCTAGGTAATTTTTCAAGGACACAAATACCTAAATTTTCAGATCAATAGAAAAAAGAATACAGTGAGGATACAATGAAAAACATTATTGTTATATTCATATGCTAAAGCTTCTTCTGCATTCAAGGACAAGGTGGCAGAATGGAAGTTAATCTGTTAAAAAACTATGAATCTTCACCAACCAGAAATGCTTCAAACATTTGATGATGTTAACAGATCTCACTTCTGGTTACATATCAAGGAAGTATATTCATTCAAAAAACTCCCAAACTCTTCTTAGACAATACCAGATGTCTACCTGCACTGCCTCTACATATTGAACATACATTAATGCAGCAAATTTACTTGGACTGTCTCACTTTTCATGAGGCAGAGAAATTCCCAGTAACTGAAGTGTAACCTCAATGCCATCACTGACTGCCATTGTCCAACACTTTGCACTTCAAGAAGAGTGCTGATGACATTATGCTGACACTGCTGGACACCACCAAAAACAGAGTGGCACCATCCTCCTGGCACCCACTTTGAGCTATTTATATGTACTGATGAGATGCCCTCCCAGCCTTCTCCTCTCCAGACTAAAGAGGCACAGCTCTCACAGTCTCTCCTAAGAGAGATGCTCCAGACCCTTCCTCATCCTGTGGCCTCCACTGGACCCTCTCCAGTAGCTCCTTGTCTTTCTTGTATTGAGGAACCCAAAACTGTCCAGAACTGGATGCAGTGTTCCTCCACATATTTACAGATACATAGGAATTACAGCATGCATGTACTTGCAAAGGGAAAAGAAATCTGATTTGAAAAAATAAAGCATGGCCTTTGAGGAGTTTTAGATAAGAGTTTTGACAAGAGTTATAGTTAATGGAGCTAATCTTTTCCCCACATTCATTTTACCTGCAGTAGGAAAGGATGACTTGCCATTTTCCACTAGACCATTTGTGCATGTAGTTTCCAGGCAGTGCATGTCAGAGAAAATTATGAGTGCCAGAAAGACTGAATAAAAAGGTTTTAAGTAATTCCTGACTCCTAATAGCAAGAGCCTACATAGTAGAGAATAATTATGGTTTTTGCTCCAGTCAGCCCAGAATTTTAAAGTAAAAGCCAGGAAATAGCACAACTCTTTTTCTTTAGAACCTAACAAGAAAGGCATTGTCAGTTATTTCCAGTCTGTGCATCATATTTGAATAGCAGAATATATTCACTCACAAAAAACTAATCAGGTAAAATTTTATGTTGTGCTCTCTAACATTTCTGCTCAGTCTTTAATGTATGTTAACTACAGATTTAGTCAAAGATAGAACAAAGTAAATGGAATTTAGCATGCAGAAGAGCAGTGTGTCCACAGAAACTATTAGGAAGTGGAGGTAATATGTGGAAAAACATGAATGAAATTTTGACATTCTTCAAAGTCTTATACTCAAAGTTTTAGTTTATGTCTTGAAAGTCAGAACTGAACTGAACATTATTCGTCAAAATACACATTGAAATTTTGTTGAAGAATGGTAATAATTGGGTTAATTTCCCTAAGGCATTCATTTTCTTAACACTTGCAGTGTTTCAACTCTGTCTAGCCCCAGGACCTGCAGGACAGAAGTTGCATTATTTTGCCATTTCTTAAGAGATTAAAAGATACTTCCAACTGGTATACAAGCATTTATAAAGCAAGATTGTCAGTAAATTCCTAGTTCAGAGAGAAGGAAAGAAACAGAAAATAAAGCAAACGTACAGAGCTCTGTACAATGGATCTGGGTACTTACATTCTGCAGTATGATTTCTACAAAAATAATTCAAAGGAAGTTTACATAGAGTCTGTAATTTCATTTCAATTATTTTTCTGTAGGGAGTATTTCACCTACCTGCAAATATATCTTAAAATATATTCTGCAATCTCTTTGCAGACAACGGGCACTATTCTGACTTTAAAATCTTCATATGTTTTCCATGATACCTAGAAGCAGAGACCCAGTCCAGCACCATGAACTACTCACTTTCCAAGCTCACATCCTATATCAGGCAGCCCGGTTGGCGATGGCTTCTCTACATTGAACTTCAGGGAATACCAAAATTCTCCAATCACATCTGACCGGAACATGACACTAAAAACAGATACACGAGCTTAACATGACAAATGCTTTTTTTCAAATCATTAAAAAACCCCAAACAGATTAAAATTCAGGAGAAACCTAATGAGTTCAACACAATGACTCCTTTAATTAAATCATATTTTTCTTCTAACACTTCTCGCTGGTATCTGTATTCAACCCAAGTGTAATACTATTTAGAATTACTGATGCAGCAAAATCTCTTCTTCATCTTTCTTAAATTCTACCAAAAAAATTCATTTGTTGCTTGTAGTGTTTGTTTGCTAGCTTGCTTTTATCAAAAAACAATCCAAACATAGTTCAGCTTATAAAAGTAAGCTTTAATTTCATTTCAATATCACAGTATTTTCTTTTTAGTCATTTTGAAGGGCAAAGTAACAGGAATACTAAACACTAATTTTAAAAAGGAAATTTTTTTCAAATCTAGTGATAAAGTGAGAAATAGATATAGACACATTCCTATGAACATGGCAAAGAGATACACTTCAAGGAATAGTCAATATATTGTTTTGATACACAATCGAGGATTGTCATGACTGAAAATTGTGTCCTCCTAGGTGAGATATCTACAGCAATATATTTCAGTTACAGACATTCTAATACAGTCCTTTCCTACTGCAGAATTTCTTTTCTATTTCTTGAGGATTTTTTAGTAGCTGAATAAACCAAAGCACTGGAAGCATATAGAAATTAGAAGAAATGCACTGTACAAACCCATGACCCTCTAAGGATGAGTTCTTTTTCTAAATTATAGATAACTATGTCTATTCCATGACTTTATGGTTCCAGACCATCCCCTGTGCTAACAGAGCTTTTAAAGTGAGCGTAAAACAGCTCTAGGAAAGAATCAACCATTTGAAAAGATACACCTGCCACAATCCCTTTTTCCAACAGTTCTTCCCAGCTGCTAACATAGCAAAGGAAACAGACCATGGCTTCAGAAAAAGAAGTTAATAGTGTGGATGTAATGTGCAAGTAGCTCTGTCCAGCTCTAACTGCAGTCTGTGGGAGCTACTGCAATTTGAAAGAGCTATTACACACTTCTGGAACAAAACTGCAAAACCATTTGGAGAATGTCTACATGTGCTTTATTTCACCTCTGCATATATCTCCTAAACCCCAGCCCACTAGAGCTGAGCCCAAAATTTTGTCCTGTTAAAACAAACCTTTCTCTTATTATCTGGAAAATCTGCACTTGAAAAATACCAGAAATATTATCTGGTATTTAAAAAAAAAAAAAAAAAAAAAAAAAAAAAGAGCTCTATTCTTATTTTCAATTTAAGATAGCATAATTTCTACAATAAAAACATACTTTCTAGAGTTATAATAGCACTCATTTTTATAAAACAGTATTATTTGAATCTGTATCACTCAATGATACCTGACATTATTCTGGTCTTTGGAAAAATCAATACAAGCAAATTGAATAAATCTCTGAATGGATTTTGACTTTGTAAATATTATTTCAAAATTGGTCAGATGTCTCTGCCCTCCTCTTAAATCACCACTCCACCCTCCACCCCATCCCCATATTTTTGCCAGTCAGTTGAGATAACTGAAAAACAGGGATTTGTTTTTCAATCAGCTTTTAGACTGCTTTGGTAACCAAATTCCATGAAAGTAAGCTTTGCAATTCTACGCTCTTCAATTACTTGCTGAACTGTTTTAGTTGAAACTATGACCAAGAGGTCATCTGTCTTTTTATTGCCAATTATTGTACCTGCAGGTTTTCACTGGGATTTCCAACGTAATGAAAAAATTTTAATTTAAAACCTCTCCATACTCATTTAGTGAATCATGGTTAAGTAACATAAGATCATGAAGGTAAATGGATTTAAGACAGTTAAAGGGTTCTCTACCTGCTTTCGTTTGTTTTTACAATTTCATTTCTTCTCAGAAGAAAATGAAATTGTTCTATTCCATTTGCAGAACTTAAACATTTAAAAAACTATTTAGAAGTTTTCAAGGGGTGTTTCTAATATTAAGTAAGTTTCTAAAACATTGTTCACTAAATTGTAGTGAACTAGAGTAGCAAGAGTTATTCTGTGGCCTGTCAATAATGCTTTTCCCCTGAGAGGAAAACTACTGTTAGGGACACAATACATTTAAAATTTTCTTAATCCCATTTATTAACTTTTGTGGGACTTTGTAGGGCAATATTTTCATCAAGGGACTTAGGTTTCAATGAAAGTAGTTCATTTATAAGTTAAACAGCCACAATTACAACATACCTTCCAGTAAAAGAGCCAAGAGCAGCTGCGGAAAACTGTAGGTGATATGAAAATGTTTGTTTGGGATTGACAGTGAAAGATTTTTCTCCAAATAGGGATGGATGGTCCAGCAGCACACTCATGTTGAGAACTTTATCAGTAGGATTAGTGATGGGAATATTAATTCCAACAGTATCCTAGAAAGAATTGTAAAAAACCCAAAATCACAAAATTAATTATGAGCAATTACACTTAAAAGATATTTCTCAAAAAAGTGTAAGGTACTTATTCTTTACACTTATGCAAACACAGGCTGCAACTTTATTTGATATGTGAACTAACCTAGAAAACACCAAGCTGCAGCAACCTTCAATTTGTAAATTCTTTAATTCCATAAATATGGAGAAGTTAAAATGTTCCTGGCTAGTCTGCATTCTAACAGCCCACTTCACCTTCCAAGATATGTCCAAGGCTTGCCAAAATACACCTTTCAAGCCCATCTGCTGTAATCCAAAGCAGGTAAAATCTCCAAGGTCTCTCCCAATGGCCAAGCACTGACAATTGGAAATATCCACTTTGCAAACTGGCAAGTGATTAGGCTGAATTCTGTTGGATTTGGTCCCTTAATTCATAAGTTACATCATAATACTTGACATTAAAACAACACCACCACAAGAAATGTTCCCTCTCTTATTCCTTTAGTCCATTTCCCTCACTAGTGATCTCTGTATCTTTGTTTAAAGTCAAAGGGAAGGAACATATTTCCTTGACCACCTGGAAAACATTGATACAATTAAAAATGCATTAAAAACTCCAGTTACTGTAATAAGACGGAGCCAAAAAATGGCCTCTTTAGATAAATCTGCATATTTCAGACATGGAGCACCTTTAGGATAAGCAGGAACTGGGCAGAGACAGCTCACTCTGCACTGCTCCCACATTCCAGCAGAGTTCCCTTTGCTGTAAGTTAGAAATGGTGTAAATTCATCCTGTGTGCCCTGTGTGTATCAATATCAATACACTTCATGAAACAAAGCACTTTGGATAGACCAGAAGGAATTTACTTATGAAGGCAGCACACTGTGATAATCCAGGAGGCATACCAGCAGTTTAAAATACACATGTTCTATTTATATATATTCATCCACAGAAAAGACACAACATCCAAAAATAAAAATATGTGTTTATTTCTCTGTACCTATATTTGAGTCTACTCTTATTTGGTCTCTTTTCTTTGCTCTAACCAAGCAGTTTATTTCAAAATCCATGTCGGTTTGGCTTTTTTTAACATATAGTGATTTGTTTCTCACAGAAAAATTATTCCATATAGTTTTTTTAAAAGTAAATAATTCAAGTGGCAATATGAAAGGAGAAAAATATAAAATGCCTATTAAAATTAATAACACACTAAAAGTGAATATGAAATACTTTTATGACCCCACACAGAGCTGCCTCCCACTGATTTCTGTCTGCCTATGATTTGGTACATTTCTATACATTTCCATTTATAGACAATGATACTGGAATATACATAAAAAACATTTAATGTTCTACAGATGGCAAGATTATACCAACAATTTAAATCATTTAAGTGCCTTGCATCACTAAAATGGGATTTAAATTTGCCATAAAATATTTTAAAGCTCAGATTAATAGTTTTTACTGGTGTAAACAAGTTTCTAAATCTATCTACCATTTTATTGCCAAAGGCTTCATAACAATTTTATAGTAAAACATCTACATGCTGTGTTGAAGAAATACTTTTACAGTAAAAAGGAAATATGGGACAGCAGATTTAGGAAAAAAGCAGCAACTATGAAAGAAATCTGTTTAATCTTGTACACAAAGGAAATTTTACATTGCCAGTATTATCATAAAACAATTTTCTCTTGCCAGTATAAAATTAATGCTTAAGATTATGTATTTCCTTGGAATTTCCCAGGAAATTTGCCTAGAATTGCCATACACATTTCAATGATCTGCTACTTCATAGATGGTAATAAGAGTAGATGTATATTTATCAGCAGTATATACATAGTTTTTTTAACATTTCTAGGCCTTAAACTAGGATAAATAACAAAATGCCCATGCAATTGCTAAGAGTATTATTTTTCTTGAAAGTGCCATTTTATCAGACGTAATGTGAAAGAGGAATATCACAGGCAATTTCCAAACACATTTATAGTCATTAATTTAGTTCCACATTTCAGTGCTGAGTATTTTATAAACATTTTGACAGAGGAGAAATGTAAAAGTTGAGAATAGAAGGAAATTAATCTCTTTCCTCAAACATTTCTTATATCAAAGCTGCCAGTCACCAAAATAGAGCCCCTTTTGTGCAATATGTCATGCTATTATTCCTTTAGAACTTCCAATTACCCACTTCTTGTCCAGTGCAGGTTATTTAAAATAATCTCACCAGAGTTGAAATTAAATAAAATGAAATGTAAATATGAGAAAACATTTATTCTCTATGGAAATTGAAAAAATAATGGACTTCTAATACTCAATCCTACATTAATAGCCTAAGTCTATGAATAGGTTTGATACTTTGTAAACCAGACTGTTGTTTCAAACGATGCTCACCATCATCAATTGGTCATTTGTGATATTATACTTGTTTGGTGAAATATTTTCCTGACACATTTTTTGCCAAAGATTTTCTCATAATTCCTTTCTATATTTCTTCTTTGAGCAACTGAATCTAATTTATTTAAGTCCATAATATGCAATTTTACTTTTATTAATGGGTACACTGCACTGAGCTATCAACTAATCCCCTTCTAAGTTCAACAGAGTAATTTTCAGGGAGATGGACACATTCTACAATTAATTTGCATAACAATTCTCTGTGTTCCATCTTCAGTAATAATCCTATTCTCACCATCAGCAGGTGTCAATAAAAGCCCTGCCTGGCCAAAGTGTCTAGGAGACTGACTACAATTCTTATTCTTTAGAAGAATTGTTTTAAATTAAAATCCAATTTCATTAAGGACGTGGCATTCATTCCACATTGTCTGAAGCTTTTTCAATCCATAGACCTTGAGGTGAAAGCATTTGTATTTGCTCCTGAGTTTGCCAGGCTGTGGCTATAGAAGCAAATTTTCAAGTTGAGTAAGCAGCAAAAAAAGTTATTTTTATAGGCCTGGTGAGATAATTCAGCAGAAATTCTTCCTTTGTAGGTTCTTGTCCAAACTATGGTTCTTCTAGATGGGCAAGTAACAAGTACCTTCCTTCTTTGTGCTGCACCTGACAAGCAGGAATGTTGCTTACACAAGGACTGAATTTGGAATGGTGGCAATATTGATGAAAAAACTAATCATGGCTTCTCTCTTCCATAGGCTCAAAATGACCAGAGCTTTCAACATCCCCATCAGTGTCTACATGTCAGTAGCAGGAGTTAGAGACTCCTGCTGTATTCTCATTATTAACTCATTTCTGTTTCTTGGAACAAAAGAGGGAGCTGCTCCAGTGAGTTGAGCAGCACCAGCTGATAACAGTTTCAGGACCATGTCCAACAGGGCTCAGCCCAGTTTGGTCACACTACTTCTTGAAATCAGTTCTGGCTCTTGAAGTGGTTGATGGAAAGTGCGCCCAAGTCACACCTCATTGCCCTTTTCCACACACACTCCCAACCCAGACAAGCACATCCACACTCAGTTGGGCCTTTCTGGCACTCATCATTCACGTGGAACTCCTGACCTCCTCTGTCCTGAGGGGCTGAGTCCTTCAGGCTCCCTGCTCCTAAGTCAAAGGAGAAGATCTTTGTGGAGTGAACCATTTCCCTCACTGTACAATCTCCTTAAGCTCCTTTTTTGGTTTGCTTTTTTTTTTTTTTTCCTCTCTGAGATGTAAATGAATGTCCAAGATAATCCTCTCCTTTCCATGGAGGGTTATGAGGCTAGAGAACCACAGCATTGCTATTCTCTTGATACTGTTTTTTCCCATTTTAATTGGCATATTTTGGCTTATAAAATAGCAGCTCTCAAAAAGGCACCAACTGTTCATCAGCAGTGAAGTCTATCATAACAGCAGATTGAACTACTTGAAATTTAGAACTAAACACCTTAAGCAAATTACATATTTGTAAAACCTGCTTAGCAAGGAATCCAGTCTTACTGCAGTACAGGAAATTAACTAGAAGGGAAAAATTTGCACAGAACATTTAATATCAGAAGCTAAAAGGGCAGTGAGTTTCAGGTTTAAATTTACATATAAATTTACATAGAAAAATCACACCGAATTGAATTTCTTTTAGCTGAAATGTGCATTAGTGCCTAAGTAATAATGCCCTGGAACAGAATACAGCAATGATTAGTTCATAAGTTATTACAATAATTCTAAGTTCCCTGACAAAAAATTACAACACTGTTAACCTCTTAATGGGGCCTACATATTGTACCAAGCAAACAAACTGGGAAAACAATGTTTTGCAAGAGGTGATTGCAAAAATTATTTTTCTGAAATGGAAGGAAAGGAATAGACTGAAAAAACATTACATTTAATGACTGAATCAATCTATGATGTCCTCAGCTGCACCCAAAGATACCACAACCCACACCAAACTGATATTGCAATAATTTATACACATAAAGGAAAACTAATGAACTAAATAATGTGAACATATTTGGATTTACATGTAAAGACAGACAGAAAAAGCTGCATCAAAGATGAGTTGAATGCTAAGCAAAGTGTTATTTTAAGATAATTATAAGAAGCATACCTGACAAGGGGATACAGACTGACTCAAAGTAAAATTAACATCCCAAATTCCCCCAACTGAGGAAGTAATAACTATGCTCATGTCTTAATGAATACTTTTTTTAATTTGAAATCAAGGGCACCTCTGCATCCATGGAGACTGAAGCTCAGTAACTCCCCATACTCCTGAGATCCAAATCCTGAGGAAGATTTCCTTCTCAGTGTTCTCAGTGTTAGAAAAAATTATCAATTACAGCTATTGTTGCCAATGTCTATACTGAAGATTGGCACTTCCAGTGATCAGCTCAGTTGCCTAAATCACCTCATACATTAAGCTGGCTTATCAAAGCTCAGTTGGGTTTGACAGCCCTACTAAAAAAATGTAGAAGTCAATCTTTTCCATTTGCAGAATCAATGGAGAAGGACATCACAGAATCACAGAATTGTTTGGGTTGGAAGAGACCTTAAAGATCATCTCACTTCACGGGCAGGGACA